TTTATTTATTTTTATATCCTTTACTATTACTATTATTACTATTTTACTTTTATAGCTTTTTTTTTTTTTACTTACTTTTATTTACTATATTAATTTAATAATATAAAGTAACTATATTAATTTTAATCTTAATAAGTTAGACTTTTATAAAGTTAGATTATATATAATATATATAATTACTATATAGTTAGACGCTAACCTCTATAGCTACTACTTTCTTACTGCCTTTTAGTTAGATTTTATAGATTAGACTATTACTACTTTTAATACTATAGGCACTAAGGTATTATTAATATTTTATAATTACCTTATTAATAATAAAGTCTTTATTAATTTAGTAAAAAAAAGGATTACACCTAAATTAGTAGACCTTCTTAACGCTAATTTCTATATATAGACTAAAAAAGATATTACTTTTACGTATTATAAATAGCTTATCCTTAACTTATAAATAAAAAATCCTAAATTTATTAATAATATTACTAGTTAATATATTTTACTTAAGGAGAGATTAATAATTAATTAGGCCTTATTTACTACTTTTTTAATATTATTATAAATAATAGCTAATACTACTTTATAAAAGTAGCTAACCTTATTTACCTTAACTTATTTACTAATAGTAGATTATTACTAGCTAAAGTAGAAGTAAAATAGTCTAACTTTACTTTTATAATAAGATAAAATCTACTAAGCACTTACTAATTTAAACCTAGTACTTAGAGGTAATATAGGTACTTTATTTATTAATACCTTATTATATAACCTAAGAACTTTTTACCTTTATTACCTTTATTATAACTAGTATAGTAAGTAATTAGGTAGTTAGCCTATTATAATAGATAAAGTAAATCCTTAGTAAGATATACTATTTAATTTATTAAATAACCTTAAGCCTATTACTAACTTTTTACCTTAAGGCATTATATAAAGATTTTAATTATAAGGCTATAATAAGTTATAATATTAGCTACTATATAAATCTAAATTTATACTTATTTTTTTTTTTAACTATACCTTTATTAACTAACTAATCTTATAAAGCTACTAATAAATAAAACTAAGTATAGTAGTAAGTTATATAACGTTCTTAATCTTAAGTTAAGTATCTTTTAAGATAACTATAGTAAGGTTAAGATTAAGTAATACTAACTTAGTCTTACTTTTTCTATTATATTAAAAAGTAAGGTATCTTAGTTTTATATTAATTATATTTATAGTAATAGTATTTATAATTTTAATAAGATAGTTAACTAAATTTATAACTACTTTAAGATATAAGAATAAATATAGACTTACTTATCTAAATAGTAAGAAATAACACTTCTTTAAGTTATATATAATAATCCTATAATAACTAAGATCTAAGCCCTTAAGGAGCTTATCTTAAAGCTAGCCCTTATTTAATAGGCTTTCCCCTTATTATACTAAAATAATAAGGTGTTAAGAAGCTAGTTACTAAATACCTACTCTAGAGTTCCTAAGTGTAACCTTTACTTATACGCTTTAGCTATAATATTAAAAGAAGTATATAGCTAATTATAGTTATCTATTAGTACTACTATAAGGCGCCTTTACTATAGCTAGTACCTTACTAAATTTTTACCCTTATTACCTAATAATTAATATTAAGTAGACTATACTTACTAAGGCTAAGGCTATTATTAATAGTTTAGTAATAACTATAGTAGTAGTAATTTTTATAATAGTAATAATAATAATAGTAGCTATAATACTAAAAAGTGCTATATTTACTATAAGCCTAGCTACTAGTTAATAAAGTATACTACTAATAAAAGACATAAAGCGTACTAATAATTTAAAGGTAACTATTATATTAAAAATACCTTACTAACTATATATAATACCTTTCTTACTAGCTAAAAAGGCACCTATTTATAAGAAAAAAAAAATAAAGATAGTAATAATAATAAGGATCTTTAGTAGTATCTCTAAGGGGCCTACTTTATTATTAGTAATAATAAAAAATAAGATAATAGTATATTTTACACCTTAACTATATTCTTTAGTAGCACTAAAGTAGATAGTAACACGCTTACTACTAACCTTACTAACTAAGCTATTTATTACTAATTAATAAAAATTAACCCTAATAGCACCTTTACTAAGTTACTTAGTACCTTTATACTAAATTATTACTTATTAGCTACTTTTTAAGGTATTTTACTAGATATAGGTATAGTAAGTTACTTAACTATAGGCTACTTATAAGCTATTACACTATAGTAAATTTAACTATCTATAACTATTAACACTATAGCTATAAGTAAAGTAAAGATTAGGTTTAGTAATAGTAATACTATTACTTTATAAGGCACT